TTCTAGTGATTCTGCCACCACGTCGGCGTCAAAAGATCCGCGAAGGCCACCTCATCGTAGTTAAAGACGTGGCAACGAATCAGTTCCAGCTGGTCGTCATTCAAAGCCTCGGCAAGGGCCGTATTGTAGCGGCAAAGAGACTGCGGTGTCAGAAATGGAGTTCCATCCAGAAAAGAGTACAGTGCAAAGCGAAAACGGCGAGAGTCAGCGAGCGAGGAAGGCCGAGTGGCAGCCCTATCCGTCAGCACCGCACTGCTCGCACGCAAAACCGAACACAACAGTGACGCGCTTTTCTCCTCCTTCTTGCTCTTTCGTTTTGCCTGCCGCACCTCCTTACGCATCTGCTTCAGCCACTCCCATGTCTCAGCAGCACGGCGTGCGATGCTGCCGTTGCCCGCAAAGGGTTCGTGACTCACCGAGGTGGCCCCGTTGGGGGGAACGCGAAACGACGGTGGCGTTTCATTGCGGATGTACGTTACGTTTCCCGCCACCTCGCGGGAAGGGCCAGCCGCTACTGGCCGTACACGGTTCCGGGAAGACGAGTGTGTCATTGCGTGGGGCACAACAAAACCTCGGTGGCACTCCCACGCACAGACCACAGGGTGATTGCCCCCCTCGTTTCTCTCCTATTGCCGTTGCTCTGTTCGCCGAGCAAGCCAGGCGTAAAGAAAAAGCGGCAGATGATACACCTGCCACAAACAGAGAGAAAAACGTAGGGAAAAGGGGGAAAAAAATGCAACAACTGCAGTCACAGTGCCCAGTCAACAAACCCACATACACGTGTCTGCAAGCGTAAATGACTTGGTTCGTCCGCTGCCCAGCTCTGTCAACCCATGACTGTGGCAAACCAACAGTGCCCCCTCTTCCCGACACGCACATAGTCATCTGAAACCCTCTGTCTCTCTCACATGTGTTGTAGCAAAAGAAAAAAAAAAAGTTACACTAGCCGCCCCAACTCCGGGGAAGCGCACAGAAGCCGCGAGAGACCACCCGGCCAGGCCTGAAGGGCGCACTTCAACGATTTCTCCTTCATCCACTCCGCCTCCCGCAGAAGATCCGTCAGAGAACCGCGAATTAGGCTTACGTCCCCCGCGTCGCCCTTATCATCCTCAAGGAGTGAAAGAGCCTCCACAACCCGCTCAATCAGGTGCAAAAGCACCCGCCGATCCAAGGACGTAAGAGGCGCCCGCCCGGTGGTTTGGTGTGGGAGGGTGGAGGGACGCACGCCAATCCAACGGGCAGGAAGCAAGGCGGACAGAAAGTTCGCCGAGACACATGTTCCTTGCTGATGCTGTGGCAGTGGTCGTCGTCGTCGGCGTCGTCGTGCGGCAGCGTCCTCGCCAAAAAGTCCCAAGAATGTCAGGGCGATACGCATTCCATGCGGATCCCCGTCGACGAGAACAAAAATCGGTAGCTTGGGCAGCTCACAGTGAAGCCTGCGTAGAAGCAGACGGGAGGCCCGGCACGGGTATCCCTTGCTGCAAAGAAAAACACAGCGGCTGAGGGGCGCACCGAGGCCCAGAACGCCCTCTGCCTCGACGAGCGTCCGGAGTGTACTCTCCTTCTCGACAAGGACCACAGCAGCTGGCAAACTCCCGGGGCCCCCTGCACCACGAAAGTGACAACCACGCACCCCCACAGCCATGTCGACAATAATTCCAGAAGCCTGTCGCGTGCCATCCACCACCACGGTCCCCATCGAAGCAATGGCAGTTTGTGCCAAATCCCCCTGCGACTGCGGGATACCCCCCTCCGTCAGCTGCGTCGGATGAGCCGCGAAGACCGAAAATGTTGAACTTCTTGGAATGTCAAAGGAAATGTATCCAACGAGAATACTCTTCCCGCTCGCATTAATGCGAAGTCCCTCACGTGTGTAGCATCGCTGCCTCACACCCACGGGGGTGTCAACACCCTTCGATGCAGTGTGAACGTTCAGCGGACGAGCGGAATTCATCCAGCGACAAAGATGTTCAATGCTAACATGAACGTCCCGTTGTCCATTAGGAAAGAGCGGCGTGTTCCGGTAGTACACGTCTCGCTCTGTACACGTCAGGCCCTGATGCACCATGTCCACTACGCACGAGAGAACATACAAGACCTGAGCGCTGCGCCGCAACACGTTCAGAGGCTTCTCTGCCGATGCGCCTTTTAACACGTGCAATTGAGGCGCTTTCTCCATGCAAGCCCCGCAAAGGACATAGCGAAGGTGAGAAGCCTGTGATGAAGCCTTTGTGGCGGCAGTGGTAGGCGGGTAGAGGAGGCCCACGAGGTACGCATCCACCACGGCCTCGGCTGTGGCAATGACCTCCTCGTCGCCCAGCATATATATATATTCGCTCCCCTCCCCCCTCTCACTGTGGCTACGGCACCGGCGAACACAAGGTGCCTGTGTTATGTGCGTCACATGACACAATGATGCAAAAAAGACCAAAGAAAAAAATCCACACTAGCAAAGCGCCCCCGCGTTGACGCCTTCGAATTTCCAAGGCACACACATACACACCCTCCTTGGCGTCCATGCTGCAGGGGTCGTTTGTCTCTCTCCCACACGCGCCTCGCTTTCACACATTGATAAGCTTCATTGTCTACATTTCGCGCTGTAATATACATTATGTCTGGCGATTCAAAAAGGGAGGGGGCGAGAGGTAAAAAACGGTCCACACACATAAGGATCAAACTCACTGATACTTTACATGCAAGCGGCGCCAAGTAAAACTACTGACGTTTTTGCGCTGTCTCTCATTTTTTTTCTTCATGCCTATCACCTTCCTTCGCCCACCCCCCTCCCCCTACGATTAACCGCGGCTCAGCTTGCCAAGCACAGGCAGGAGCCACAGACATCAACCCCGACAGAGACGGAAAAGCGCGGGGAGCCCACCAACGCAACCGCCGCAACACACACATACACATAAGAGGAAAAAAAAAACACTCGCCTCTTTTATTATCGTTGGAGTTGTGGGGGATCATTTGTCTGCACGCACAGCCGCACACACTTATCCCCGTCGCGGCTACATCTGGTGCAGCACCGCCATCGCTATGCGGAACTCCTCGTACGTTGCGCGTCCGTCCCCGCGCCAGGTCATTCCATCAAACAATTTCTTCACCTGGCACTTGGCGAGCGGAAGCCCAAAGAAGTCCAAGGCCTCAATATCTCGCCGAAAGGCCTCACCGTTGATTGTACCTCGCAGTCTTCCATGCGAACCTGTGGCCGTGCGCACCAGCTCGTCACCCACGCTGGCCGCTTCCCCCTCCTCCCAGTCCGCACTTCCGCCATAGTATTCCCAGAGACGCACCATATCATCCTCTTCCGCGTTCAACAGAGCCTCCTGGAGCCAAGCATCCGGTTTTGTGCTATTTGGATAGTAAAGCGGTAGTACGTCCAAACGATAAGCGTCCTTTTTAACAGGTATCCTTGGACGTCTCTCAGCAGGCCGCTTCAGCACCACCTCCTCCTCAGTCGGAAACGCAATGGGAATAAAAAAGCCGTCTTGTTCAGCCATAAAATCGACAAACTCTCTGGTGTCCATTTCATGCGTAAAATCAAACATACGCTTCGTCACGGAAGGTGCGTCCAGTGTGCGGCTTGTGTACTGCACCAGCGGATTGTCCTTCCACTCGAGGAGCTGGCTGGGATCATGCTCCAAATAGCAGAGGGCTCGCACAAGGAGATCGGGAAGCAAATCGCTAGTACTGCACCAAAGCTCTCGTTCCATGAATGCCTGTAGTGGACCGCCACTTGCAAGAACAATATTGTCGATGCGGTTAGGCCTGGAGGGGAGACCAAGTTTTTCCCAGTCGTTGTACAGTTGGCCACGCAGGGACGCTTCAGCAGCATTAGCCGGATCCGGGTCGCCAATCACTTCATGCAGAAATGTATGCCAGCTGCACTCTCTCTGGTCCCAGCTCACCACATAGCCGTGAATGTTGGGCGCTTCCCGTCCCATCTGAAGCATACGTTCCCGCTCAAGCGGAACAAGTGCATTAACTACATAGACGTCCTCTGCGTGGAACTTCACCACCTCCATGTCGTAGGCAAGTTGCACGTGCTCTGGCTCTGGAACGGACCACTTCACGTAGAGTTGGGATGGGGTCATAGAAAAGGCGCTGAGAGCGGCGAAGGCCCCCATCACACGCTGCGAGGTGAGTGCATAATCCCAATCCTCGCCAAAAACTTCGTGGAAGCGCGCGCGACCCGCCTCCGTTACCTCTGGGAGAGACGTGTGGTATTGATGCATCGCGTAGTACATGGAGGAAGAAAGGTGCCTATCGACAAGGCGGGCACAGCTTTGCCTATGGAACTCCTGCCTGATGCGGATGTGTTTCTCGGCAAGGAGGCGCTCCACAAACTCCATGAGGCAATGTTTATTGGAGGTGTGAGGCTTCAAAAGAATCACGGCAGTGTTGCGAAACAGCAGCGTCACATCCTTCTCGTCCGTCTCGTCCAACAAGCGCCCCAACGTCGAGCCCTTGCTCTCAGCTCCACTCACATTGAACTCTTGTACACAGTCCGGTGGCGGCGCGCCCGCCTCGCCATTGTCATCCACGAGCGGAATGTGGGCAGTGTCCGCCGTCGTCCCCTCAGTTTCCGCGCGACACAGCTCCTCTGTCAGGGCCGTCAGCAGCACCAGCAGGCGGGAGGTGTCACAGTGTAACAGGTGTTCAAAGACGCCCGCCTCACGTCCACCGGAGGTGACCTCCGGGTTGTCAAGCCACACCTGCAGAACCCGTTCCGGCACACCCTGGCGCAACAGGATGTCACCAAGGTAGTCCTCGGCCAGCGCACAGTTAACCCACCTGACGCGTTCTCGCATCGCCTGCAGCGCACCCTGGCTGACGTGCAGCCCGTTGTGCACGGTGTCCGGCGCCATGGAAAGACCAAACTCCCTCCATCGTTGAAAAAGCTGCCCACGAATACTCTGCGGCGCCGCCGCTTTTGGGCAGTCGTCACCGATGACCCGCTCGAGAAACACTGGCCAATGCATGTCCTCCTCAAACCATGAGACGATGTACCAGTGAAGCAGGGAAGTGGCAGACTCGAGGGAGTTCTTCAGCTCCGGGAAAAAACCATTCACAACAAAGATGCCGCTTCCTACAAGCTCCGCAACTACCAAATCCGAACGAATCACCAACTTCCGAGTAGAGTTTTTCCAGCACTCGTACAGGTGCTGCGGTGTCACCCCACCAAGCACCTCCAACGCCCGGTACGCATTCACAACAACACCTCCGTCCACAAGCTTATCCCAGGCGACGCCAAACTCCCGACGCGCCCTGTCACGCTCCTCCTGGGTTAGGTGGATGGCTGACACATCCCCCACTGCATACTTGGAGGCGGTGGCGTACAGGTGATGTACGAGCCCCCTCCCCCGTACCACAGCACCACTTATATCCCCCTCCTCATCGACACGCACCTTTGCATTTGAAAGCGCCATCTCGATCGTCATGGCGAAGGGACGGCACAATGCGTGACTCTTGACAAGCAGAAAGGCAGAGTTGCGTGGCAGCTCAGCACGACAACGGGTGTCCTCAGCCTTAAGTAGCTCGAGCGCCGCCGCGGAACCCTGTCCACGTACGGTCTCGAACAAGCGGCGCCCGTCGCCCCATGGTAAGGGTGGGTTTGTCACCGTCCGGCGCAACACATACGGTGAGACGCCTAACTGTTTCACTGCAACCCGGCCCACCGGGTCGCACTGCAAACCCAGCGAGAGCCACAGCTGTCGTTGATGTATGGCCTCCAGGGCACTCGTGGATGTCATTACAGCCCCCTCAAAAGGGTCAGGTGGACATTGGAATCCAGCACTTTTCCATTCCTCGCAAAGCCTCCGTTGCAGACTACCAGGCTCTGCCGCCTCCACGTATGGGTCCCCAATAATCTGTCCTATGTAGGCAGCATAATCGGCGTCAGCGTTGTCCCATGAAAGCAGGAAATACCGCTTCACGGAAGTCGCCAAGTTAAACACCTCGATGCTGTGCAGTGCGAATCCGTTGACAAGGTACAAACCGGAGTTTGGCATCTTCCCAATGTAGAGTGAGGGAGCAATGCGCGTTCGCGGCTCACAAGCATCCCAAAGCTCCTTCAGACGCAGCGCAGACAAATTAAATTCCACAGCCACATCCACAGCATTTCGAACCTTGCTAGCATTCCACCTTTCACCAAAGGTTGTCTGAAAAGCATACATTGCATCCCCGTCAAGGGCATACTGTGAAGGTATCCGCTTCACAGCGTACCAAAGAATATCTGCTTGAAATTTGTCTCCCACGTGTTGCACAGCTGGCGCAATGGTTCTTATGCTTCCTCCCGCCTCAACCTGTACCTTGTGACGCTGCAGAAAGTCTGTGATGTACGCCGCCGCGAGTCCTTCAGATTCAGTAGACAAACATTTGGGATTTACCAAAAGAAAGGCGTAGTTACGCCTTAATATCACAGTGGCGTCGGCAACAGCGGCTGCTGCAGAACAAGAAGAAGTGACACCTGCCAATTCATTGAGTTGACACTCCTTCGCGACTGCCTGCTCATTGCAGCGCTCCTTCACGTCATTCTTATGGCCGGGCCACCCCACAGCGGAGGACGGCGGTTTGGGAATTGCCGCAATGGAGTCAGTGCTCTTGGAGACGAGGTGCATGCCGCCAGACGACTGAAGGCCAACCAGCTGCGCCACCAAGAGCGGATTCTCAGTGCAGAGTTTATCAAGCACATCACTTACCGCGTCTACCGGCTCGTCGCGGTGACGTACCAACGGGTTTTGCAGAATTGCACGCAAGTACTCGGGGTTCACCCCTCCCTGAATGAGAAGCCGGCCAAAGACGTCCTCCTCCACGTTCGTTCCAAGCCATGCGACACGGTCGGCGACTCCCGCGATGGGCGAGGCGGAGGCGTGAAACCCGTTGTCAACGCCGTCAGGCGGCTGCTGCAGACCCAACTCCACCCACGAGGCCCACAACGAGTTCCGCAGCGAGGCCGTCTCCGCCGTGGCCGGGACGTCGCCTCCAATGACGTAGTTGTGGAAATCGTCCCATGTCATAATGTCCACGTCCCACATCACCACGTACCAGTAGATGCGCGGGCCGGTGTACATGCGAGCACGGAGGTAGGGGTAGAATCCGTTGACCACGTAGAGGCCCTCCGCTTCAAGGTAGGCCACGTAAAGGCTAGAGGAGAGACAGGCCTTGCGAGGAGCCTCGTCCCAGGCCTTCAACAAGTCCACAAGCCCCATTCTTCCTTCCGCCTCCGCGGCGTTGATGATCATGTGAAGGTTTACAGCTGTGCTCCATGTGATACCAAAGGTGCGTTCAAACTCCACCATTTGCTTCATCGTGATGGGTAAATCCTTGATGCTGCGCCCCATGGCGTTGCGATAAAGAGCTTCATACTGCTGATCCACGAGGTGTTTCCCAATCACCTCCTCCATCATCAAGTGTCCAGAGGCGATCACCTCGAGACGATGCTCTTGCAAGGCGGAGGGCACCCATTCCACCACCTCCGGGGTGCCTGCATGAGGTTTAACCCAAACAAAGGCATAATTCATTTTTATAGCTCGCAGAAACTGCGAGGTAAGCGCCTTAATACGGCGAATGACCTCGCTGCTCTGCTGGTGCCTCGACAACGTCTGCCGCGTATAACACAACATCTCACTGCCCGCTTGGCCCGGTTGCATCCAATGTGTCTGATGCGTCTGCTGCTGCTCTTCATCCTCCACGTGCTGAGGAGTTTGTAAGGCGGGATTGTCACGGTGCTCGTTCCGGACGTAAGGGAGCAGTAGTGAAAGCGGCACACCATCGAGCAACAACTGCTGCACAAACGGGTCCTCCGGCAACTCCGCCTCCAGCCACATCTCGCGGTCGGCAGCTGCCTCTAAAGGGCCCTCCGATGCGTAGAGCGCACTCGTCGCCCGAGAAACCGGCTCCAGCTGCAGACCAAGAAACTTCCACTCCTCCGCAAAGGTGCGCTGCAGGCTGCCGTGAGCGGCGGCCTGAGGGCTGACAGGATCGCCAATCAGCATCTTACAAAATTCCTTCCACGTCCATGTGCTTTCCTTCCACTCCACCTCAAAGACATACACGCGGCTACCCGGTTTTCCGTAGCTCTCTCGAACAAAGGGCACGAATCCATTGATAACGAAGACGTCATGCGATTTCAGGAATGCCACGTACAACCCCCGCCCAAGTTTCTTTGAGCTCGACGCATCCCACAGCCGCAAGAGCTCCGTTGGGGAGAGATTAAACTCCTCACACGCGGCGATGGCACCCATCAGTTTCCCATCGGCCACGCTGTGGTCCCAGGTGACGTGAAAGACCTCCCGAAAACGGTCCTTAAGGTCGGCGCTGATTTCATCTTGCAGAGTGGAAGCGGTAACGTCGGCGAGCTGGGCGACGGTGCGGAACGCTGCACCGTTGAGGTAGCACTCCACCGCTCGCGTGCTGAAGATGGACAACTCCTGCTGCACCACTACGCCAGCTTTATTGAGTGCCTGTCGCACCCGCTCGATGGCGCACTCGCTCACTGCAAAGGGCTTAAGCATCACCACTGCACGGTTCGTGGGGGTTTCCGTGTATACAGCCATGACCTGTTGCTCCGCCTCCCGCATGATGTCCACCATCTCGGATGTTTGCTTGTTCTCAAGCAGGTCAAACACACAACTCGACAGCCACTTGCCCCCCAGCGTCACTTCCTGGTTTGAGCCCCATCGGTAAAGAAGTGCCCCTGTAAGACCGCACCCCTGCAATCGCAGCGTGAGGGGGTCGTGGGAGAGCGGGGTGCGCATCCAGAGATGACGCTCCAGCACCGCCTCCAACGGCCCTGCGGACGCGTGAACCCCGTTGTCCGTCGTCGTCGGTGGGTAGCGCAGGCCCAACTCTTGCCATCGGTCGCGTATCAGCCCACGCAGGCTGTCGGGGGGTGCGTTGCTGGGATTCGTGCTTCCAACCAACTCCTCACGGAAGGCCCGCCATGTCATGCGCGCCTCTGGCCAGGTGACAATGTAACACGTCACGTTCGCGTCTTCCGCGCCATACGTGTCGCGCAAGTAGGGGTAAAACCCATTGATAACATACACGTTCTCGGGGGCAAAGTATGCCACATATGCCCCTGGAGCGAGCTTCAGCGTCTTTGTGGCGGATCCCCACATCATGTTAAGCTCCTCGGCGGAGACTTCACCAAGGGTGTGTATGGCCGTCTCCGCATTCCAAACCCGACCCGAACGCAGTGCGTCCTTCCAAGCGATACCAAACGCCTCCTGGAACATGGCTCTATTCTGCGTCCCAACGTTGATAGACATCGGCGGCACCTTGACGGCGTAGCGGGCTATGGTTCGGTAGTGTTTGTACATCATCTGCTGCGAGGCAATCTCAGTACCGGAAACGTGGCGCTGAGCAACGAGCTGCACTCCCTGAACACGCATGACACGCTCCTCCACGAGTGCCCGCGTTTCCGGCGTGTTGGCGTGCGGCTTTACAAACAAGAGCGCTCGGTTTCGCTTTTCCTCGGCATCCTCGTCGTCGAGCACAATCGTCCAGTCCGCGGTGCCTGACACGGTGGCGGTTGCGCCTAACCCAGCCCCCACTCTGTTGGCGCGCTTCAGCGTCTCTGCGTCAAAAAGCACTGAGACGTGGTGCAGCACCTCGCTGCTCTGCATATTCTCAAAAAGCTCAAACACCGGTCGACTTTTCCCGCAGTATGTCACGGTGGGGTTCTTCACCAGCTGCTCAAGAAACTCCTGTGAGACGCCCTCGCGAAGGAGCGCACGTCCAAAGTCGTCCTCCGTGGCGCGACGATGCATCCACACAAAGCGGTGGGCCATTGCCTCAAGCGGGCCGCTGGCAGTATCCAGGCCGTTGTCCGTCAGGCTCGGCTCCTTGCTCAGCCCGTACTCCCGCCAGTGATCGTACAACAGACGACGCAGCGACGTTGGCTCCGCCGCGCTGGGGTCCACTGCGCCAACCACCTCCAGGCGAAAACTATTCCACGTATACCTTGACTCCGGCCAGGAGAGCACAAAAACACAGGTTTGACTGTCGGGGGCAGTGAAAGACTCCAGCAGCCGCGGGTAGAAGCCATTGATAACGTACATCTGCTCCTGTTCAAAGTAGGCAACGTAGAAGCCGTACTCGAGCCGCGCACACGACTTGCTGGCCCACCACTGCGCATCCAGCTCTTGCGGGGTGAGGCCAAGCATCGTCATGGCGTCCTCCGGTGTCATCACTCGCCGCCCTTCTATTGCGGCGTCCCACAACTCGTTAAACGCCAAAAAAAAAGAGACGCAGTTTCCTCCGATATAAATGCGTTCAAGTCCTCCACGTGGCATGCAGCCAGGGCAGCCACAGCGCTGTAGTGGCGCTCCACGTAGGCTCCACGCTCAATTTGAGGACCAGACAACAGTATAATCTCATCCACGCGTACCCCGTAGGACTCAAAGTGTTCACGCGCGGCATCGAGGAATCGTTCACGGCACGCCTGGGGCTTAATCAGCACTAGTGTTGTATTCGTCATCTCTGCCGCCATTCCGTGACCTCACGGCTCAACAACCACGCTCTCTTACCTTCAATCGTTTCTCCAAAGCTGCACTGTGTGTGTGTGTGTGTGTGTGTGTGTGTGTGTGTGTGTGTGTAT